AAAAGAAGAATACATGTACTTATTGTAAGCATCATGGGCATATAATATCTGAATGCCCCACTTGGCCAGCTAAAGGAAACACTTTCAGCTATAAGAAAAATCAGTATAGAGCTTATCAAACATTCTTGGACAATTCAGATGGGAGTACAATTCGTTCTCCTCCTGCATCTACTCCAATTAAAGGTGAGTCTTCTGGAATTTTTTTTGGTCAATAACTCGCAGATTTTATTAAAATTAGAGAGAAAAAACACTGGTACAAGAAGAGGGAGATAAACTCTCTTATCTCACCTAACCAAAACAACAAGACAAGAGAACGATTACAAGATAGCCCAGAACAAAGAGTTCCTAGATGCCCCTTGTTTAGCTAACTCATCAGCAAAGGAGTTAGCACTCCTTTTAACCCAACTCATCTTCACCTCAGTGTTCTTGGTTAACCAATTAAATTTCCTCTTCTCATTGCTGTAGTTCCAAAAATTAGCAGTATCATTTCTCAGCCAATCAACTACCAGTTTAGAATTGCCTTCTATGCCCAATTTGGTGATATTCAGTTCAATTGCCATTTGAGTTTCTTCGATAACAGCTGAAATCTCAGCTTTAAGAGAATCGCCCAATCCAATTGGCCCCAAAGAGAGCAATTATCACTCCCTCCTCATTTCTTAAGACACCCCCAATACCTGATGGACCCAGATTACCCATGCTACTTCCATCAAAATTAAGTTTGATAAAACCACTAGGAGGAGGAGTCCAAGAGGGTAAAGATGTGACTTTAACCTGAGCTGAACTTATAATTTCCTTTTCATTTCTGAACAAATCATCCACTGAAAAGTGTTAAAAAGAGCCAAAGACTTAAGCCAATGTACTGCTCTGATTTGAATCAGCTCCAGAATTTCTGGCAGCGTTCTGGAATTATTACCAAGGAAAAGATGTGGCAGATAGTGTCTTCAGCCATCTCTACTATTGGTTTGTCTGGTGAGTCTTCTCTTTATTGTTCTTCACCCATAGGAAGGTGTGGTCTTTGCTATGTTTTTTAGGCTCGATTGGAATTGGGGACTCGCTCCGGGCGTAGGTTATTAGTTGTGGTGGAGGATGTAAAAAGGTCTAAGGAATTATGTATTAATAGATTGGTCATCGTAGGAAACACAAAAACGGTGATAGGTTGGTTAGGGAAGGATGATGAGTGTATGTGGCCTTATCTTAATGAACGAAGACTCTTCAAATCGTTAACTTAGGGTATGGAAGTGAGACTGTAGTGGGTTAAGAGGAGTGCCATAGTTGTCAAGGCGACGCCTAGGTGGGTGCCTAGGCGACTAGGCAATTTTTAGATGTTGCCTTGCCCAACACCAAGGTGTTTTTGTATTAGGTGCTCACCCATATATATATTATATTATTTTTTTGAATGTGTATATGTATTGTACCATTTTATTGGTTTGTTTTATTTTATTAGAATACACCCTGTTGTATGTAACCATTTTTTATTAAAGTAATTCTCTTTTACATTAAAACTATGAAAGTTTCTTTGGGTTTGACACTTTGAGTTTTGAACCGAGAGATGAGAAGAGAAAGCAAGGGACTGAGAAGTTTCCATTGTTCAGTCCAAGTAGTCCAAGACCTCCAGGTATGTTTCTTCTTCTTCTTTAAGAAATATTTTTGGGATGAAATAGGGGCTTCGTCTCCTTCTTCTTCCTAAATGATACTCCTTCTTTCTTAACTTTTAAAAATCCTCCATTTTTTTAGCCTGAAACAGGGTCTCCACCCCCTTAAACACAGTCCACATCGTCCTCTTGGACAACTTATGTTGGAAACAAAACAGGGGCTCCGCCCCCTTATTTTTTCTAATAGCTAGCATACATGTATGTTGGTTAGTATAAAAAACCAATAAAGTAACTTAAGAGGGGTAGGAATATTTATTTTATACTTTCAAATTCCATCGCCTAGGCGACTGAGTGCCCTGTGGTTGCCTAGGCTCGCCTAGGCGCCTTGACTATGAGGAGTGCTAATTCATTTGTAGATACATTAGTCAAACAAGGGGTGGAAAGGAACCGGTTTCTTTTGGGCTGTATTGTAATTTTCTATTACTTTCTGGGGGGAGTTAAGAGAGTTTATCTCGCCCTACCTTTGTACTTATTCTTAATTATCTAATGAAATGTTTTTGCTATTGATCAAAAATAAATAAACCAAAAAAAATGGAAGACAAATCAGAGCAGCAATCAAGAAACCCAAACTTGAAAGAATGGAAGATGTAAAGGCATGGAGTCATACCTGGAAAATGAGGGTTTCCAATGAATGATGGCATATAACTGCAAAACATGAAAAATATCCGATGAGATTGACAGAATCTTGCAAGTTGGTAAGAAAAATATTGAAAATCAATGCAAAACTCACCTGATTAGGGTTTGGTCAGTTGAGGGCTCCAACAGAGGTTTGCTTGAGCTTGAGAAAAACGGGAGAAATGGGTGAGGGTTTAGAGAAAATTTTATGTATCACATATATGGGAGTGCTGCGCATGTTTGTGCCTTTTGTGTTTAGTGAGAAAGCACAAATGGCCCTTGCGGTGCTGCTAAAGCCCAAAGTCATCTATTATTACTTAGTGCTTTTTGTTGCACATTTTTTTTATTCTTTGGGTGTTTTTTCTTTGGAAAAACACCCATTATCAAATGATGAACACTTTTTTTTCTGTCAAAGCACGAATGTACTTCAAAAAACCTTATCCAAACATAACCTTAACCTTTCCCCATTTTCCACCTTACATGAAACCCCTTTTACAAAGGCTATTGATTTTTTTATAATTGGCAACTGTTTTCAAGGAATGTATCAATCTGTTCAAGTGGTTGAAAGATTCAGATGTTTCACCATGAACACCTGATGTAGATGGTGGAAGGAATTCATAGATGGTAAGTTCATGATATAAGTTATTTTGTGATTCTATTATCAGATATAGGATCAAATGCTCTGATCCCCTTGCAGGGGTGTTAACCAAGGGGTCCCACTCTCTCCGTTCCTCTTTACTTTAGTAGCTGATGTACTTAATAGAATCATCACTAAGGCCATTAGGGAAGATATCATTAGGGGTTGGAGAGTAGGAAGGAACCAGATCCCAGTCAACCATCTTTAGTTTTTAGATGATTTGATGATTTTTTTTTTTTCGTGAAGGGAATGCTAGTGAGAAGGTAGCAAACTTAAAAAGAGTTAATCAAAGGTTTTGAAAGAATCTCTAATCTGAAAATAAATTTGGAAAAGAGCTGCATAGCGGGTATTAACTTGGAGGATAGGGAGGTCGAGGCTATTGTAGAGTGTCTCGAATGTTCTGTCTCATCTTGGCCTTTGTCCTATTTAGGGCTTTTATTAGGGGCAAATTCTAGGGAGAGTAGGTTTTGGACTCTAGTGCTAGAAAAGTTTGAGAAGAGATTAGCTTCGTGGAAAAAGAATTACATTTCTTTGGGTGGTAGGATCACTGTAATAAGAGCTACATTGGCGAACTTACCCACTTACTTTCTGTTTGTCTTTAGGATACCACCTAGGAAAGCTAGGATGTTAGAGAAGTTAATGAGAGACTTCCTTTTGGGAACCAGGACAAGGAAAAAAGGATCATTTGCTTAAGTCAGAAATTGTGTGTAAAAGCAAAGAGGAGGGGGGGTTTGGGGATAGGGAGGGTGGTCCTAATAAATCTAGAATTGTTGCATATATGGCTGTGGCGTTGGCTTTTGGAGAGAGAGAGAGAGAGAGAGGCTTTGGCATGAAGTGGTGGGAAGCATTCATGGATGCTCAGAGAATAGGTGGGACACAGGTGTATCAAGGCAGCACCTTGGAAGGCCATTCATAACACTCTTCCTTAGTTTCTCAGGTTTGTCAAGTACAAAGTTTGTTCTGCTAATTTGTCCCGTTTTGGGAGGATATTTGAGTGGGAAATACCCCTTTAAAGGACCTTTTTCCTTTGTTGTTCTCCATTTCATTGTATACAAAAGAGGTGGTCTCAAAATCTCCCTCACCCTCAAGAACACCCTTGGCTCCAAATCGGGATTTTGGGTTTCATAGGGGGTTAGGGATGCTGAAAATTGTCTCTCTATATATTTTGCTTTGCCTCCTAGTTCCTTTGCAATCTGTTGGGAGAGGTTGCAGCCCACGCCTCTACAAGGGCTGCCTTATGATATTACAAATCTAAATCAGTTTCTGAATTAATAACATTTCATTATTACTCATAAAAAATTCTATTCCTGCAAGAATTGAAGCATTCATGTAGTTTCTCTTATTCTCACAATCAATCATCTGAAAAGCAGGGGGATTCGCCTATCAAGGCATTGTATTGTTTGTTGTAATCAGATACAAGACTAAGTGTTCTGATATTATAGGTGTGTACTATAGGTGTGTGGGGAGATCTTCCTCCAAGCGTTGAAGCTTTCAAGTGGCAACTATCTTTTGATAGTATTCTCATAATTGATCATCTAAAAAACAGGGGGATTTGCTTATCAAGGTATTGTATTATTTTCTGTAATCACGTGTTTCTCATCTCTTCATTAAGTGCAGCATTGGAGAATTTATTAGGAAGTTTTGGGTTGTACAGAAGACCTAAGCATGATCCGGTCCATCTAAAGGAGATTTTCTCTAAAAGGCCATCATTATCTGGAACCAAAAAGGCAAAAATAGTCTTGAGTATGATTCTTTTTGCGGTCTATTGGGCTATATGGAGAGAAAGAACAGAACTTTTGATGGCAGATCTAGACATTAGAATAGTTGTGACTGGTATTGGTTCATTCATTATGGATTGGTTATTGTGTCTTCCTGAATTTAGAGATACATCTTGGTCTCAATTTGGATATGGTTTATGGTCAACACTTGAGCTTGTTGGAGTGCCTTTTTAATCTTGTAATTGTGCTGTTGTGCATTTGTGGTTTGAGTATTGTCTGATTAGGTCTCACCATGTAGTTTAAATGAAACTCCTTTGTCTTTACTATCATACAAAGGATGCCTAAAGGTATCAATCCATTTTGATGCTGATGTGTCAGGTGACTGGAGATCCTGGGAAGATGGTTGCAGTGCAGAGAAACTTGAGCAAATTTGGAATTAAAGAACTTGCAAGAACTGGAAAGGTTAAATGCCTATACTTTAAATACTGAATGTGCTGTTGTTCCTTCTGTGAAATTTCTATAGGTTATAACTGAAAAATTCTGACCCTTTATGTGTATTTTATGTATGTTTCATGTATTTGGGTCTTCTTTGTTGCTTCTTACAGATTGCTTTGAGACGGGAAAGGATGGGTGAGACAGCACCTTTTTGGAGATTCTCTGCAGCTTCATATCCAGATCTTGAAGGAACACCTGTAAATGCTCTGATGGGGGCCACAAATAGAACACTGAATAGCAATTTGGATCAATCTTCAGGGGTATTATCTTCTTTGTTGTATGAAAAATATGTTGTGTTCTTTTCTGTTTTTCCCTGATGAATATGTTTTTTTTTTTCTATTTCTTATATGAATTTGTGTAGGGCCATAATATGATGTGTCTGATGTCTTGATCATCTCTTGATAGGACTATATATTTATATTGTATATTCTCTTTTGTACTGTATATCGCCAATATTCCCAATATGTGGCTGGATGAATGTGGCCAGCAATGTGTTGTGTCAGCAGATCTGGGCTCATCTTAGCATGGATTCACTCAACTTTTGGATCAAATCAATAAAGTAGGAATATGTTGTTACTATTTCATTGAACAACCCGATAGAAGAAATCTTGATGCTTATAAGGATACTTTGTAGTGTGATGTAATGCCCATGGTAGTATATAATATTGGTAGACATTGGGAATTTGAAAGAAAAACTAAGCATGATGGCTGGGCGCCTGACCAACAGTTATAACTTTTACAAGGATTGAAAAAAGTTCACCTTGATGCCTTCTGAAGGTGAACGAGAACTTGAAAATGGTAATGTTACAGCAGTTGTTTCAGCAGTTCGAACCGGTAGAAAATGAAGGAGAGAGAAGAAGAAGAAGAAGAAATAATCGAACATAGCAGGCTAAACCTTACTAGTCGACCATAATATGAATTAGGGATTCTAATTGGTGTACAAAAGACTAAACTGCCCCACTTAAGTATGGGACAAGATGACTGCAAAAGTACTATTAGGACTACCACATAAGCATATAACTTAAACAGAATGAAAAAACTAATCTGCCCTTATTCGACCAACTCTAACACTCCCCCTCAAACTGGAGAATATATGTCGTATAATCCCAACTTGTTACATATATAGTTCACTCTCCTTGAGCTCAAACCTTTTGTAAACAAATCTACCCACTGATCACTTGAGCTTACCTGTTCTGTGCTTATCTCTCCAGTAAAGACTTTCTGCCTCACAAAATGGTTTGTACAATAATCCACGGCGTAGAGCTCCCTTAAGGTACCTTACAATTCTAAGAACTGCATCCCAGTGAGGTATCTGGGGGTTTGCATAAATTGACTCACCACACTAACAGCAAAGGAGATGTTTGGTCTTGTGATAGTCAGATAGTTCAGCTTCCCCACTAACCGTCTATATCTTCAAGGATAATAAAATATTTCACCTGTATCACTGTTCAACTTAGCATCTGGTTCCATGGGAGTTTCATCTGGTTTCGCACCTAACAACCTTGTTTCATCCAGCAGATCAAGGACATTTTCTTTGGCACAGGTTCACACCTTGTTTTGACCTAACAACTTATATACCTAAGAAATACTTCAACTTCCTAAGGTCTTTTGTTTGAAAATGGTCTTGTAGAAAGGCCTTTAGTTTGTCAATCCCCAATTTGTCACTACCAGTTATGACAATATCATCCACATTGACTACTAATAAAATGTTTTTGGTTTCAACATCATGGCTGAACATTGAGTGGTCAACCTGACATTGTTTCATTCCATTATTTTTCACCACTTCACTAAACTTTCTAAAGCAAGTACGAGGAGATTGTTTCAACCCATAAATTGCGTTTTTCAGTCTACACATCTTACCATCCTCCCCTAAGCAACAAACCCGGGTGGTTGCTCCATATATACCTCCTCTATAAGGTCACCATGGAGGAAGGCATTTTTAATGTCAAGTTGAAACAGGGGCCAATCATACATGATTGCCAAGGAAATTAAGACACAGACTAAGACAATCTTTGCCACAAGAGAGAAGGCCTCCATATAGTCCACCCCATACAATTGAGAATAACCTTTAGCAACAAGTCAGGCCTTCAAATGCTCTACACTGCCATTTGGTGATGTGAAGTGGAAAAGTGAGAGCCCGAAACAAAATTGGAAATGAGATGTAGGGTGCAACTACGTTTACCTTTCCGTAAAGCAATGGGAAGATCAAGCTTTGAAGGTTTTGGGACAAGGGCAACAACAGGATCCACAGACGAGGTAGAAGTCAGAGGATGTGCCAGTGTTTGTCGATGAGTGTACACATGCTAGATTGGTGGTCATTCAGTAGGAATCTGCACTAGTGGAGTTGAAGGTTCAACCCCAATAGGAATAATCGGAACGAGATCACTAACTGGAAGAGGAAGAGGAAGCAATGGTGGAGATGATGGTACTTCAGGTCCTGAGAAGAACGGGATGGACTCAAAAAACGTGACATCATGACAGACATAGAACTTCCAAGTGATGGGATTGTAACACTTATACCCTTTTTGGGTCCGAGAGTAGCTAAGAAAGATACACTTAATAGAGTGTGCATCTGGTTTGTTTAAACTAGGACTCAGATTGTGAATAAAGCACACACAGCTAAAGACCCGGGGTGTTAATGGAAAGGGAGACAAGGTGGGGAACAAAATAGAAAAGGGAGACCGACCATGAAGGATGAAGGAGGGCATCCGATTAATAAGAAAACAAGTAGTAAGCACAACGTCACTCCAAGATCGTTTAGGAACATTCATATGATGAAGAATAAACCGACAGTTTCAAGGAGATGACGGTTCTTTCGTTCAGCCACCCCATTTTGTTGAGGGGTGGATGCACATGAAGTTTGATAAATGATGCCATGCTGTTCCAAATATTGTTGAAAGGAAGTAAGAAAGTATTCTCGACCATTATTTGAATGAAAAACTTTTATTGGAATACTAGATTGCATATGTATTTCAGCATGAAATTTTTGAAAAGTGGAAAATAATTCACTCATTTGTTTCATTAAATAAATCTGTCATTAAATAAATCCAAACATCTGAATGAACTAAAGCAAAATGACTCAACATACCACTATCAACTCTATGACTGAAGGAAACCTGATGGTGTTTCCCATATTGACACTACTCACACTGTAAAGAAGACAAATGTCTCAAAGATGGAACTAGTAGCTTGAGTGCCTTGAGAGGTGGATGTCCCAGTCGACATTGCCATTGTAGAGGAGTTAGGGAAGTCTGAAGTGCAACCGACGATCCACCACCGTCAAGATTATACAATCCACCGGTCTCATGCCCTCCACCAATCTTCTTCCCCGTCTTGAGATCTTGAAAAACACAAAATGAAGAACAAAATGTAATAGAGCAATTAAGGGTCTTAGTTAATTTACTAATTGACGTAAGATTGAATGGAAATTTAGGAACATATAGAACAGATGATAAAGAAAGAGATGACGTGTCAACATTACCAACACCACAAATGGGAGAAGAGGAACCATTGGCCAGGGTAACAATTTGAGATGTCGAAGTTTCAGAGAGAGAAGAGAACACACCTGGAGTCCCGGTCATGTGATTAGAGGCTCCAAATTCAATAATCCAGGGAGAGGGTTTGGATGCCAGACATGCTATACCTGAGTGTGCAAGGGTGGCTGTAGTATGTTGTGAAGTAGCCTGAAGGAATCCCTCATACTCATCTCGCAGTACACTCGTCATCTCCTTCCCGAAAGCAGATGTAAATGTGGAAGGTGTTTGATCTGTCTGTTGGTTATCACTGACATCAACCAGACTAGCTACTGCATGATTAACCCATGTAGAAGGTGGGCCATGGAGATCATAATGGAAATTCACTAAATGTCCTTCCCTGCCACAGTGTGTACACTTCCTAGTTGAGTTACCTCTTCCTTTACTACGACCTTCCCCTGAGTTAGGACCTCTGTGAGATGCATGTCCTCCCCCTCTATTACCACGTTCACCTCCTCTGGCTACCACAATTATTGATCTATTAGACTGTGTGGTACTCTTTGTGGATCCTAAAAAAATCCTACGCAATGTTTTAAAACACGGAGGTGTGACGGGATTCATTCCACTACCTAGAGGCGTGAGCCTCTTGAACACAAGGAGGCTTATGCCTCCTTAAGAGGAGGGGTGTTAGGAGGACGATGAAGAGGAAGGGGGGATCTCATTTTTTCTTTATTTTTAATAAAAATCTTTTATATTAAGAAGAATAAAGATGCATAACATTAGTTGAAAGGGGTGGGGGGTCAAAGGGGCAGGGGGGCAAACCACTTTCTTTCCCCTTATCTTTTCTTCCCTTCCCTTTCATTTCCTTGTCTTTTCTTTTCTCTTTCTTTTTCTTTCCCTTCCCTTCCCTTCCCTTTCTTTTCCTTTCCTTTCATTTCCTTTTTTGTTCTGTCTTTTTATATCAGATGTGCATGAGGCACATGAGGCATATGCCTCTAGCACGCCTCATGAAAAAAGCGCAAGAGGCGTACACCTCTTGCATCTGAGGTGTACGCCTCAACGGTGTTATTGCCTCTGGCATACACCTTAGTGTGTTTTGGGAGCGCCTCACCTGGAGTCGTGCCTCCAGACGTACGCCTTCCACACCTTTTAAAACATCGATCCTGCGAAACCGTGCAAATACTTCCTCAAGTGTAGGAAGAACAGAGCCTCCCAATCTTTGTGCTCTAACGGGTTCATACTCTAATTTTAGCTCCACTAAGAACCCAGTGACATCCAGTTTCTCCCTTTGTTGTTGCTGAACCTTAACACCTGGAGTTAGGAGATGATAGACAGAGTTCATTTCTGAGGTTTCTCATTAAGTTATAATGGCATAGTACTCTTCTAGGGTTTGATTCCCTTGCTGCAGATTAAAATATTCCTGATAGAGCTGATATACCCTTGTAAGGAAGAATGGCGGCGGCTGGAGAACTCCTGGGACAGAGATGGATGAATAGCTTCTCCTTTCTGGAGTCTGTATGAGATCCAATCTCTATTCGCAGGATGTTTTGTTGCTTGCTCACAAACCCTTAGGTTCGAAATCTGATATTGATTTCTCTCTCTTAGAGTTTCTCCTCTTTTCTTCTTGATTAAGAAAACTCCTAATTAGGAGTTATCCCAATCCAAATCAGTATTTGGATAGGGGATGATCTTAATCCTATTTGCAGATTAAGTTAGCTTACTCCTGATCTTA